ATCATGTCATAAGTTTACCAATCTCTTAAATAATTAATAACTTTTTCCTGTCTCGTTTTACATAGAAACGATCTTAAGCAATGTTGTAGCTGAGAAAATTTTATATAAGAATGGCTATCGAACTGTTTCGCAGCTCAATATGGAAAAAGGCTAGAAGGCAATGTACAAAAAGTTGAGATTTCCCATAGTAATTTACATGTAAACTTCAAATGGCTTGTGCGAAGTCTGTTTCTAACCAAATGAGTTGTAACTTTGGGAGGCTAATCAGGACCCGATTTGAAACCATCTAAGCACTGTGGAGCGAAAAAGTCAAATTTTGCATCAGTCTAATGGGCACCACCGAGCAGCTTGGCATTTTATTTTGCTGGAAATTCAGCAAAAAATATGTTTGTTGGCTGAGATCTCGGCAAAATTCCCGTTTGTTAGCTGAATCTCGGCAAGTTTTTTACTGAGATCCGGCAAAATAAAATGCCGAGCTGCTCGGTGGTGCCCATCTCGGCGAAAAAATCTAAGTGTGTACGTCGTCAACCGTTTTGGTAATCTGAATCCACCTAATCCTAATTGTCATTTGACTAATTAATCTGACTAATCTGATTAATCTGACCTGGGACTTAGATTGCATGCAGAATAACTTTGTCGTAGACCGCAAATCGAGTCGAATTCTGGGGAAAAAGTTAATATTATTTTACTTTAGGCCTACCACTCCGAGCATACCTACAGGCATATATATGACCATGTAGGTATGTGCGGAGCACTTAGTCTAATGTAAAAGGTTAGTAACTTTTTGTAAAGAAGTTGAATCGATTTGCGGTCTTGGACAATGTTGTTCTACATAGCATTCCCAATATATGTCCGAGGTTTGGTCAATATTGAGTAATTTTAGAATTTTTGACATGCAAATGAATAGTTTCGAACCGTTTCCCATACACAATTTAAAATTCTCCCACCGATCCAGATTATAAGCAAATTCGTTTAGGTTGTTGAGGACTTCCACACACATAGAAAGAGCAGTGTGGAGCGGGGTATTATAAGTTGACCCACCCTATTGAACATGCTTTATATCCACAGCGAAAATAATTTTCATGTAGCTTCCATTGGAAACGCAAATGGTTTTCATCCATAAACAAAATTAATTGAATTCATCTGAATTTCACATAACATTTATGCGATCACGTTAATTTTATATGATTTTTCATATGAATTTCATCGGCCTCGTAATATTCATGTGATTTTGGGGTGGGATTTTTAGCTATGTGATCACATGAAAGCTAATTAATATTCACATGGTTTTCATCCATTAGATATGTGATAAATTTTTTGAGTGCAGTAAAAACGTGATGTATGGATTCAATTTATCTAGCGTTGAAGTACTAATTAAGTGACGTCCTAACTAAAAAGCAGTTTGTTATAGGGGAAAAGTCGGCTTCGGCAATACCTTAACCTATTATCGTCAGGGGGTAAACAACGTCCTTGGGAGCACAATTTTGGCATGTGGATACATTGTGTTTCAGAGCATCGATTAGGCAAATATGAATGCTCTAGGATTTTTTTTACCCCTCTGACGATAATAGGTTAAGATATTGCCGAAGCCAACATTTCCCGTACGTTCCTCAGAAAGAATTAGCTCAGAAAATTGTCTAGCATTTACATTTCATTGCTGATACTTGGAAATGATCTAGTGAGCTGTATTGCCTACAGTTTAACAGCCGAACCAACTATGGCGATCGGTTCAATCGGTATATACTCACTTATGTCGTTTTCGTTTATGCTACACTATTGATAAATCTACGCGAAACTGCACCAGTGCATGCGACACCTAGGTTTGAAATCCAAAACCACAAAAGTGATGATGTACTAAAAAATATTCCATACGATTTGATAGCTAGCAAAACATCATTACGACAGTGAGCATGCATAAGGGCGAATACGCGATGATCGATTCTCTTCATCGATTTTCTCTTTGCATTGCTACAGCTAAGCGAAACAATATTCGAGAATTTGTTCAATGCAGAGTAGTAACAGGTTGTATTGGCTATCAAAAGCAACAGCAAACGCACCGGCAAACCGAGAAACGTTAAATCTAGCGAGTTATTAACAAAAGAGAAAATTGACGAAGAGAATCGATCATCGCGTATAGGCCCTTATGCATGCTCACTGTCGATTATCATTTTTACATCATTTCCATCTGCTGGCCGACCGTAACGTACACAGAAAAACAAAACTACCCACCGCTTGGGTTTTTTAAACTCAAATTTGAGTTATTTGACCTCTGTCCGTTTCATTTCCTCTCGCTATTGTTGTCAAAAATAGAACGAAAGATTCGACTCAACCGTCTAGTTCCATACAAGAAGCCAAAATTGAGTAATATGCGATATACCCAAATTTGAGTTAATTGAACTTAATTTTGGGTAGAAAAAATTGAAAATTACTTAGCGATGGGTAATTTTTTTTGCCGTGCTTAAATGCAAACTACTTTGAGCCGGTTTACCCAAATTTGGCTTATTGTACGGATCATGGGAGATGAGTGAAAAGAACTTAATTTTGGGTTGTTTTGAATTTCTGTGTAGATTCATCAATACCGAAGTAGTGTAAGCAGCAATAAGCGCGAGTCATTGGCAGCTCATCATCATTTGTTTGTTAACAAAGGTGCAACCGATAGTTACACCCTGAATTTTTTTTTCGGTGTTCGGCGGTGTAGCACCGGTGTAGCTACACCGCAAAAACGAAAACGACATTACAAATAACTATTTTTACACGAGACGTAATCCATCTTTCATGTAAATTATGGTACGTAAACAAACATGTGATGTATAATTAGGGTGGGTGAGCCAGTAGTGGAGGTACAAAACCAATTTACAAATTAAAAAATAAATATACGATGTACACACAATTGTTGTACGTCAATCTACAGCTTGCAACCTCTATTTTGATAGAAAAATATTTCATTGTAATAAAATTGCATAAAATTTTAGATAGATCGTCCTCCATTAATAGGAACACTGTTCCAGTAGTTGTGGTAGTTGCTAACTTTGGTTCCTATTATAGTGAAATGCGTTGTTTCTTATGGGTTCCACTATTATAGGAACACTACCGCAACTATAGGTGCAAAGGAGTGAAAATCTTAAGGAAAATTAATTATTTTCTGTCACTTTTGGGCATATTTTAAGTTTGAAATATGCAAATATGCTTTATTTTAGGAGAGCTCCCGATGAAAAATAATCTTATCCGGATCCTCCTCACTATTCCGGCACAACCTCCATACCGCAACTAAAGGTACACCACTATAACTGGAACACCTACCCTAAGGGTTCCGAAACCAAAAATATGCAACTCGATGAAAAGTGCGTTTGATTGAATTGATTTTCTCTTTTCTTTCAACTGATTTTTATATCATATGGGCCGCTTAAAAGTGTCGGTCTCAAGGCACCAAAATTCGAGCCAAAATTTACATGACTTTTTCGTAGTGTATGGTATGAGGTTGCGTCCCAACCCAACCCAGCGAAATATAAGTGTATAGGCTTGTAGTGTGAACGGGGTATTAGAAAGGAAGATGTTAATTATTAACATTTAGAATAGCACGTAAACGTTCAATACAATTTATGTAAATGAGTTAATTAAAATACGAATATTTGAATTTCATCATCGTGACCTTTACGGAAACGGTCTAAAGCAGAAACAAGGCTATCCCATTCAGAAACAGCTTAGATTCTGCATAATTTTATGCATGTGATAATATTCCGGTTTCTGGCCTAAAAACAAAGCGTAACATCCCTAAGCCCGTTCGTCCGAGAATTTTCTTCGTTCTAAATATTGGACTCTGGTAGGACCATCATAACAAAGAATAATGTGTCCGAGCCTCAGTCCCAGAAAAACCTGTTTTGCGTGTTTTATTTTTCGGATGAGAATAACCCCCAGCAGAACATCCATTCGGTTGGTTTTAACCAGATAGCTGTAATATAGGGTAGATAACTACTTCGGCATTAGCGCCCATTTCCGTCATATCGACCAGAAGCATCAAATATATCAATGATTTCAACGTAAACGAATCAATCATACGTTTGGTACGGTAGTTCAGTTCAAAAAACAGCTACAAAACAAAATCTATAAGAACGTACAGTATTAATATTTTCGTCCATTTTTCTAAAAACAAAAGAAGTGCTTCTAGTGAATCCATTTTTTCTACCTTCCCTTATAAACATATACAATAAACGAACTGCATCCCGGATGGGTAAACTATCTCACAAATGGTTTGTATGATACCCCGAACACGTCGTTAAGCTCTTTTTTATGGTTATTTTTATCAGGGTTCTTCCGTGAAGTGAATCCAATAACGTTTCAATGTGTTTGGATGGAATTGAAACTCGTATGACGGAATTGGAATCAAGCAGGGTTTGATTTTTTTTTTAAATATGTCCAAAATTTATCAAATCTAGCGGATCATATGGAAAGGTAAATAAATTTAAAAGTAATCTTTGATAGAATTATTTCATTGATAAAAACCGTTCGAAAAAGAGAAGTATGTGGGTTGTGCATAGTATGACGGAAATTGAATCTTAACCCTATATGGACAAGGATAGAGATGAGAGAAAAAAAGACTAACACTACGTCATCGTGTTTTTCCCGTCAGTAATACAAAAATACGAAAACATAATGCTCGATAACTTTTTCAAAGAGACGTATCAACTTTTGTAAACAATGCATTTGATCGTCGATTTGGCGTAACTGGTAGCTCGCCCACGCATGCTAACACTACCATCAGATAGGGGAATTGTTTTCCCTACCTGCTAATGGTGTTAGTAAGCGTGTGCGAGCTACCAGTTACGCTAAATCGACGATTAAATGCATTGATTACAAAAGCTGATACGTCCCTTTGAAAAAATTATCGAGAATGGTCAGATTGAGGCAATAAAGTTGTTTGCTCTTAATACCTACATGTATCTTCCAACCACTGACTGCTGTTCAGGTTATATTGAGGAATGTATATTCCGCCATCGCTTGTGGTCTTTAATTAAAGTAACGCGTCTTCTCAGCTTTTTTTTTTGTTTCCTTATTTTTTATTCTGTATAAAAGTCTGTCACGCGTCGGCTGCAATTTAGTTAGTCAGTTAGTTGCGCTCGTGAGCAGAACAGAACACGTGTTTTCGTCCGAAAAATTCTTCATTCAAAATGGTTAAATTGATGGTACGTATTTTTGGTGATTGTTGGCTTGGCGATGAAATTGCAATGTGTGCATGTGAAACTGCAGCTATAAATTGTGAAGGATACATAGTGGATAAACCTCGGGATGAACAAGAATTGGAAAACATTTCTAATCGAAGAATGAAGACAAAGTAAAATGTGCAAAAGCTCGGAAGTAAAATATTGCAACAGATTTGATGGGATAGTCGTACCTTTTAGCACTCCGAACACGGTGCCTCCGGTAAACTGTGTAACGGCAAACTTGCACTGTTTGGAAAGTCATAACTCAGCCATTTATTGACGAATTTCAAACCTACTGGCACCATTGAAACTACGTACTTTAAAAAATTATTTGGAATTAATTGATTTAAAATCTATCAATAAATTGCTGACCAACGATTTTTCAAACATTGCCAATTTGCCGTTACACATTTTACGGGAGGCATCGTGTTCAGAGTGTTTAACGATGTAATGCTCTCAAATTGACTATCCTGCCCGGGTTTTCTTAGTCAGATGAACAGAGCGACGGGCGAGCGTTTCAAAGAAGCTTATTAAATAAACCTATAAATGAAGCTAATAAAACATGGTTCCAAGTCAAGCTTAAAAATAAGCTTCTATAAATGAAGTTTATATAAGAAGCTTCTACAATAACCTTCTTGAAAAGATTTTAAAATAACCTTTTTCTAGACGTCGGCCAGTGGCTCTCTAACGAGAAGAAATAAAAACAAAACAGTAAATTTGAGTAATTTCACGATGCATCAAAAACTAAATGGATTGAAGTTTGAATACAGTTAACTCTCCACAAGAAAGCATTAATAAATATTTGGGGCCATTTTAGATGTCATGAAAATCTACTTTCAGAGTGGTTCTATAATAACTCGACATCGACTTATAGAATATCGTGTTTTGGAGAGTTGAATATGTATGTGCGACGAATTCCACGGACAATCCTTGCAACCATGCGAAAAAAAATTCGACTCCAATGCCGACTCTTCCATTATATGACCCATTCCAGGTTACTTGACACGCAGATTATCGGCCTGTGATTAATCTTTTCGTTTAAAATTTATGATAAACTTCATAATATGGCAGTGTTATGAGCACAAATTGAAGGTTTGATTTACTTTGTTTTCTTCTTTTATACTCCGTTATAAGGGCTACTAGAAGTAAAACCCTACGTGAGTTAAAAATAGTTTTTTTTACTTTAACTCCGTTTTAATAGAAAATTTCCGGTATATAGAAATGTTTTGATACAACACAGATAACTTCAAACATGTTTTACATCAATTTAAAGTAATAACACAGAAAATAAGATATTTAGTTGGAAAGTCGCGGTGAAGAACTTCGAGGAATGGGTCATATGTCGGTCGACTCCCGCTCCATCCTCAGATTCCAGCCTAAATTTATTAAGGAATAATCTTAACTGACTTATTCATGTTTATTCTTGTTAGGGTTGTTGATAACGGGATTATTTTTAGAACATCAGTATACATTGTGAACTCTAGCCGACCAGGCTAATATAACAAATGAATACCTAATTCTGACCTGATACCAAAATTTGGTGTTGACCAATATGACATAAGAGGTAAAATACCAAAAAATTGCATGCAAAATACTTTGTAAATAACAAAAAATGATATTTGAATGTCAAAAGAATACCTGTGTGGTATTGTTTTGGTATTGCATTTGCATAATTTGGTATGGAATTGGTATTGGTCAGGCTCATCCATACCAATTTCGGCTATCGAGATTTTTGTTCCTACTCGGGTAATGTCCGCCGTGAGTACCAATGCATTTGACGTTCAAGATGGCGAAAATATTTACATGTTCCGATCATGGTAGACTTGATAACATTCTAATGACTGTTGTGATCTGTCTGTGTTAGCTAAAGGTCACGAATTCTCATCCCGGACAAGTCATTAATGACCTAATATGTGTTAAAGTGACTATAATAAAAAAAAAGATCTGTCAAAAAACAATCTAAAGATGATTAATTCGCCACCAAGTGGTGGTGTCTGAAAAATTTCCTTAACATGTTTGAAATGAGGAGAATTTGAATATAAATCGATAAAGAAATGAATTAGTTTAGCACATAGTTGAAGATGCTAATTTCAAATAATAGACTAAAGTGGTAATTTGTATACGATAGATGAGGAGATGAAAGTATAGAGCTGATAGTTCCGTTAGAGTACGGCAGTTTGAAATTGTATATATAGAGAGTAGAGAGTGAGCAAGGACAACTTTTTATGGAGGTACAAATCAGTTTGATCATCTCTCTTTACCAAACTCCCCCGTTGGAGAGGGATGGTGAGAGGTATCCCCACGACACCACTGGCAAAAAGAGATGATCACCGCCTCGCTTATGTACCGACGATGTGTTTGAAACAGTTCTATCGATTTTTACCGCACTCGCAGACTTACCAACTTCACGCAGAAGTAATATAAAACAAATAGTTAAAGTAGTTTAACACGTTTGTTAAATTTCTTTGTTTACAAAAGCAGTTTCGCCCAAATAAAATGTTGACATCAAATCGTTCCATCTTTTGGGATAAAGCAAAATGAAACACTATTACTGGTAGTCCTAAGATTAGATTCAGACAACTGGGTATAGATTATGATCCAGTCGCTGATTGGTTGATTTTGAAGACTGCGAATGTGTGAAGAACTACCATCGGGTTGTTTGGTTTGATGTTGGCCGTTTTGCTGGGTTACGTTGTATTATTGTTATTTTAAGTGCGTAGTAAAGTTATTGCTTTAAGTGTTGAAGTAAAAACCAAACATAAAGTATAAAGCGAACAATTTTGGGTGCAGCAGTAAATCTCATCCTGATAATCACTTTTATCGGTTTTTAAAGATCCCGATAGCGTGTAGGAAATGGATTCGAATTTTGCGTGAAACATGAGGCAGACGTACCGTTCGAATGGCATCAATGTTAAAACGTGACACGCAAAGAGGGAAATATACAACAAGGAACATGGATGTAGCGAAGAACATTAATGGTGGTAAGCTCCAACCGGTATTATCCTCGGATTAAATCCCAATCAAGAATTCCCGATTGCTTTGATGTTGACGTCAGAGTAAATTCAACAAAACTCTAAGCAAATATTTTGTAGATCATCCAAACTGGGACGGTATTAAAAGTGAATACGAGTTTGAGCATATTATAACGGTTGTCAAATAATTGCAACACAGAAACCACCATCAAGATAGCACTATAACATGTTATAACTCTGTAGTCTGAACGTACTATTACCGCCATAAAAGAAGCCAGTTCTCGATGAACATTTCAAATAGTCCTATCTGCTTTGATCAATTCTCTCCATTCATTATTCCACAACACTGATTCAGTCTAAAAACAAAACGAAATCAGTAGAGTAGTGGTTGCCGTTTCCGCTTTCCAAGTAGAAGGTCGTGAGTTCAATCCCAAGTTCAACCCTTTTTTATTTGTGTTCTACGCCTAATTAATTTAAGTCGTAATTATCAATCACATGTCTCACCTTTCCTTGGAATCGCAGAGGTGAAAAGGTAACATTGGTCTTATGTAAACGATGAATGAATTAATCATTCCCACAGAGCCTTGAAGGAGCTAGAGTTGCGATCGGGAATGCTGATAGGTATTCACTTTCAAGCAAGCTTTTATTGATTATTGAGCTGCCCTTATGATGTATTCTAGGATAGCTCAGATGACAATGCAAGCGACTGGTTATCGGCAGGTACATGGTTCGAATCCCATGCAACGACATGTATATGTATATAATTCATTTTCTACACGCAAACCAAAAATTAATTACAATGAATGTTAGTTCCATTTCCTATCATCCTCTGTTCATGAACATCGCAGCGAATGTTAGAAGTTGACCTTGCAGGCGATGTAATGGTTTTTTGCCTTTTTTATTTCGTGTTCTGTCTGTGCTTTCATCTACACAAGCAAGCATTTGCCTTGATTTTTATGTATAACATGGCAGCACGACGCACACACTTGCCTCGAATCTCTCCAGCATAAAAAGCATACGAAGTCAAGTGTGAGAGGAAATGAGCGCTTCTTGTTTGCTTTTAGGCTATTCATATTCAGAAGCATGGAGAGAGCAGTGGAGAAAGCACAGGTCTGATAATCACAACGTTCGTGGTTCGAGTCCCAGTCGGCAACCTTTTTCCAATTTTTTTCGACATAATTCATTTATACACTCGACATTTTTCGGTCTCCAATTCTCTTGCATTGGACCGCAGCTAGGTATATTGCATCCTTGGTTCATGCGGTCTCCACTTACATCCTCTGATGATGAATCCCACATAATTGTAAGCGAATCTTACATCCACCGGTTGGGTGTAATATCTATGTAGTGCGTGCCACGTCAGAAATAATGAAAACAATCACTAAAGAAAAAACACCCAACCCTGTACCATCCCCCCCCCCCCAGTCCATCTTATTTGCGGGCTAATTTTCCCACGGTTGAATAATCGTAATGTGTAATAATGTCTAATTAAACGTTACTTCAGAGCATCACTATTTTAAGGGGAAGTAGTGATGTCTAATAAACGCTAAATAATCAAAAATGTTATCGAATAAGCTCTGTTAAAACTCATATTAGTCGAATAAAAGCTTCTCGACATACCTTTTACAACACATAGTTCAATGTGTTGTGGTTGAATAAATTCTCCAGATTTGTGCGAACAAAGCCTGAACAGAAGTTATTATTAAAAACTAATACAAGTATTATTAAGCATGCAGTTGAATAAAATCGTCAAGACGTCGTTTCTTCAATAGACGATTGTTTGTTGGGATATGTTTTCACCGATAAAACCGTAAATAAGCAACAATAAATTGAAAAGTTCCAACAGAAAATTCAACAGTAGCAATTAAGAAAACATATATTTGAGCAATACAAAATCATGAATGTTCCAAAAATAATTGGATATCTTAGATTTTAAGAGAGCAATAACATTTTTTAAAGTGCCCTTAAAAATCTTAACATTTTTCCAACTTAAAAGCTAATTGTAATAGCTATTTTTAAAGTAGTTGAAGATGCTAATCTCAAAATACAGACTAGAGTGTTAATTTTTATACGATAAATGAGGAGATGAAAGTATAGAGTTGATAGTTCCGTTAGAGTACGGCAGTGTGAAATTGTATACCTATATAGAGAGTAGAAAGCGAGCACGGACAACTTTTATGAAGGTACAAATCGGTTTGATCATCTCTCTTTACCAACACCACCCTCCCGTTGTAGAGGGATGGTGAGGGGGTATCCAGGGAGTGTTAGGCATATGACGTTAGAGTAATTTGGAGGGAGGGGGCCAATAGCATTCTGATAAAAACATTAAAATTATCGGGGGTCCACGGTACATTAATCCGTACGGTTTCTTCTTCTTGCAGATCACCCTGGCATTTGCGGCCCTCATCGTTATCGTGGCTGCCAATAGGAAGCAACACCAGCCTGAACCTCATCATAAGCCAGAAGTGCACCACCAACCACAAGTTCACAAACAGGCACACCATCAGCCTCAAGTGCAGCATGGCCATGCATCAGCCCCAGTTTATGGACACGGTAGCAAGCAACAGGTCCATGGTTCCAGTCACGGACAGCAGCATGGTGCCAGTTACGGACAGCAGCATGGTGCCAGTCACGGACAGCAGCATGGTGGATCCCAACATGGTCAGAAAAATCATCATTAACGTGTGATAACAGAGTAATGTTTGATAAATAAAAAAGAATGATGAAAGTGTATGGAAAGCGGAATCTTTTTTCTTGCGTTTTTTTTTAATTATAATTATAGTTGAATGTAATCAGCGAGGTTATTAAGACAAAATGTTGTGGAAAGTGACGGACCTTTCCCCTTAGCTCATGAGACATCCGAAGATATTGGTCTTTAGGCTTCATGTCATCAGTTTCAACATTCAACTCTACGGATTTGTGTACACGAAAAAAGTGAACACTCCATTTAACTTTATCAATTCATCATCAAATCGAATATTGTTTGATGCTACTGTGTAATTATTTGTTGATTGTTTGCAATACCGATTAAAGTATTTAAATCATATTATTACTGTCTTCAAGGTGTTTGAATTACAACGATGTATTTTCAATATCACGCACTCATACCAACGAATGTAGAGGAAAACGGTAAGACCGCCACCTTAAGCAATATTAGTAGCTCAAAATGATCAAGCAGTTTTACATTCTGCTGTGCTACATATGAACAAGCATTAATTTACCTATAGACAAAAATTATAATATTTACAGATTAAGCATCAATTTTTGGAACTATTCAAAAGGCAGGCGGGGTAAGACGAACCACGACAAGTTTTTTTTTTTGGCAACCACTGCACCAAATTTGACACAACAAGCGCCACATGAACATGGTCACATAGATCGCAACTGAATATCTTTGAAATCGGTCAACTAGTGGAGCATAGGTCTAGAAATGATCAAAACCGGTACAAACCCTTAATGCGGCACATCAAATCGCATGAATATTCGGAAATATGATCAATATGAGTCATATTGTGTGTCTAAGGGAACATTGGCCTGATACGAGTATCTCCGGGGAACGGGTCATAATCATATTTGAATCAAAATCTATCATGCGACACACGTCAAATCACATGAAAACTCAAAACATTGTAACTGGTACGGTAGGCCGTGTGAATTTTTGCGCATTTTGGAATTATTCAACTTACATAGTCACAAAAGTTATATAACTACCTAAAAACATCCCCAGTAAAAAAAAAACTTTAAAAATGGTCTTGCTTGGCCGATATTGACTTGAAATTTTATATGAAAATTTAATTTTCTGTGTATGTGAAAAATCACTTTTCTAGATTTGGAAGATAATGGGTATTTTTACGTAGAGTAAAAAAATCCATACTTACGGAGCATATAGAACAATTCCTGAAAATGTTTGCTGAAGACAGTACTTTAATTGAACTTAGAGATATTCAATTTAGAAGCCATGCTAATTTATTTTGCATGATTTCACATCTGTTCTTTTGGGAACACTGTGTGAAGTTGGGAGTTGAGATTGTATTCAGTAATCCCTCCATTTATGGATTCATCATGCTAGTCTAAAATTGGCTAGTGGAAAATATGCACACTCTGATTTTTTTGCCGAGAAGGGTACCACCGAGCAGCTCGGCATTTTATTTTTCTGGATATCATTGCAAAACTTGCCGAGATTCAGTTAACAAATGGGAATTTTGCCGAGATCTCAGCTACAGGGCTGGTAGTGGGTATGTGATGTAATAGTAGTGACTTTAGTGACTAAAATCACGAAAATAGTGACCAAATAGTGACCTTTCATCCATTAAAAAGTGACCAATAGTGACATTTTTTTATTGATCGGAAAGATATGGTTCAGTTATTCCGATATTTTTTTCATACTTTTTAAAAATAAAACAAATTCGAGTTTGATTTAAGGATCACATACATTTGTTATAAAAAAAAAGTATGAACAAGATCACAGTCCAATTCTAACCCCCATTTCCTCACTCTTCAGATCACGAATTTGTTATTAGATCGCGAAATTGAGGCACAGAGAAAAATGTTCAAAGTACCGATTTTAGTAAATTTTTTACAATTTTAGGACAACAATTTTTGAAGATCTAGAATCATACATATCCTTCAGATGCATTTAGCAACATGAAGTACTGCAGTCTAGAATTAAATGTGTATAGATCTAAGTTAGCCATGAGTATATCAATAAAAGATCCTTCTCTTCTTTGTAGTCGCTGTAAAGAACTGGTCGTCTTTTTACTTTGCTCCATTCCTCCTAAGAATATAATCTTTTGTAACACCTCAAACATAGAAAAATAATCATAACTCTTGGATCAAGACAACTTTTCTAGATCGCAGTTTAAGAAAAAAAAACTCATTATTATGGCACGAGGAAAATTTTCCCAGATGGAATGATCACAAAATTGAATGCGTCTAGGATTTAAAATCTCGATCGTGAAAAATTAGAGATTTAGGAATACATTTCAGAGTTTAGTTTTTGTATTACCGGAATATTAGTATGGAAAAAATACAATACGATTTAAGTTACGTAAGTTTTTCGTGATTACATTGCATGGTATGAACAATTTCTTGTCGTATTCGAAATTCAAAAAGGGCGATAGAAGAAAGTGCCCTTTCGTCGTTGTTGGACGAGTTGGAATTCCCAGGCTTCTTCATGTTTTCAAGCGTAAGTTTTATAATTTTTATAAATTAACACTCATTTTAAATTAAAAATAAAATTGCAGAATACGGGAACGGATGGTTCGAGGTGCTAACAATCAACAATTGACGAACGAGATCATCAGTGACAATTATAAAATAATGTAAATTAGTGTTTTTTTTTTCCTAGAATGCAATTATTTGATTACTCAATTAAAGCGAAATATATATCTACAGTCTATCACCAATTCACTTTATCATTACTACAAAATCCAGTAACATTTACTTGCTGGTTCGCGTAGCTTTTAAGTGATGCCAATTTGAAGATTATCGTAAAGTCCGATAAAATTTACGTGAAAATCAATTGATTTCTTTGTGAATCACTCAAATGTAAACTCTCCCCCAAAACACGTATTATTCACCTGAAAAATGCGATGGAAAATATCTACGTACCTTTTCAGGTGAATTTTATCTAACTTTTTGTGTTGCAGTGTGGGCTTGGACAACTTTCAAGATCATAATGTAAAATAGCCAGAATATTGGGTCTAGAACTTTTTTCGAAATCTCTGAAAATGTATGATAGGTCTGGTCTATGACAATTTCAAGATGAAAATAAATAAAATATTAGATTCCTTAACAGTTAACGTTTCTATATGTTCGCAACTCTTCTTGTCAGACTTTACTCTGAGTTGTTAAAGTCAAATTCTTTACTCTCAACATTAGTCGTAAAAAAGTGACTTTAGTGACTAAATTTTAAGGAATAGTGACTTTAGTTACTTTTTGGTGAAAAAAGTGACTTTTTAGTGACTGACTTGAAAATAGTGACCAAGTCACTAAAAAGTGACCTGCTACCAGCCCTGCAGCTAACAAACATAAATTTTGATGAATCTCGGCAAGTTTTTCACTGATAGCCAGCAAAATAAAATGCCGAGCTGCTCGGTGGTGCCCATCTCGACAAAAAAAAAATCCAAGTGTGTGCGTTGAAGATTCTGGAATTTTCAAACCGAAATCGAATATGGGTTGATTTTGGTAAGAGCCGGCGCCGGTGGTGTAGTGGTAAGCGTGACTGCTTTCTCACCCTAATGGGTCTGGGTTCAATCCCAGCCTAAGTCGGTGGGATTTTTCTGAGGCATAAAATCCCTGGTCACGTCTTCCTTCGGGAAGGAAGTGAAGCCGTTGGACCCGGCCCATGTGTGTTGAATGGGTGCGATCATGCTTGGCATGCACAGTTGTACACACCAACTGCTCATTTGTTAATAACTTTTCACTCAGTTGTTGAAATTTTGTTTTCTTCAAGGTAATTGATAGATTAGGAACATAGTTAACTGTAGACATATGCAAAGAGTAGGTCAATCTTATCATTCGAATCAATCAATTTAACACTTAAATTCCGAGATGTGTAGTGAGCATTTCTCACCTCATTTTTACAACGCAAAAACAAATACAGTTTACTACAAGCATTAAATTCTACTCTTTTTTACATATCTATAACAAGCTTACACTCTATTCTATCTACTGCCTCAAAAAGAACTATGTTCCGTCAACTGTGTGCAAAGTTATTAGCAAATTAGCAGTGCGTGACCAAAACTGTGTATGCCAAGCATGGGTGCGATATCCTACGCAGGTGTGGAAGCTGCCTTCCTGCACATTCGATTGTCGTTAATGGATGGCAATCGATGTCCGTCGGTGATTGGCACTAGATTGAGGAACAGAGACCGACGTTAAATAAAGGAAAGAAGAAGAAGAAGAAGATGGTAAGATGGATCAAGTTGAAAATGATTTCCCAATCTTTCTTAATGGAGATGATATTACGATTTATCACAGGCTGCTATTGTATAAAATCGTAACTGATAGATCTTGGGTGGAACGGACCAATCTTACCGCACCGTAAATCGATCATAAGTGTACGGGTGACCTTCGTTCGTGTTGTACGATTTCGTTGGGATGTTGACAAAAGTTTATTATTGTTTCTAAAGAGTGTGACTACAGTGGAGGTTAACTGAACTTAATGAAGGCCTAGTTGCTTTTTCGTAGATTTTAGTTTTCGGATATGAATGATCGTCGGTTGCAGTGGTTTGAAAACGAGGTCCCAGGTCCTTTCATTTTTGGTCAAATCGCTTGTTTATCATGTATTTTGCGAAACTTGTCGTTGTCGGTTCCGGGTATGAATAGTTTCAACAACTCGTGTGATGTGATATGAGGGGCTCGGTGGCTTTGGAGCGATTGTTTTTGCTTACTGAGCAGAACATCATGAGAACAACGAATAGAAGATTAGGAACCACATAGATGAAGACTAACTAACTAATTTTTCCTTGTTTCAAGATCATCCTCGGTGGAAAAGCCGAGTCTTGTCACTATCAACAAGGCATAAAAAGTAACAAGGACTAAGATATGTTCCTTTGATTACTGAAAAATCCTGTTCCCCTAGTTTGAAGTAGTCGGGACTAGGAATCGGTGGTAGATCTTACATCCCGTAACGTACCATGAAAAGGTGATCTACCCACGTTACGGGGCATGCTAATGCTCATACTCAGTAACCCCTCCATTTATGGTACCATCCTCC